CTATATTATCCGCATTTTACAACATTTCGCAACGAACATTTCGCAACGAAACTTCGGAATATTACTAATTTTGTGATGCTCTTTCAAGCTGTGATGAAATTTTTGTCCAGACTTGTCCAGATCAAAATTTCACTTAAAAGGGAAATGTCTATTTAGGAAAACTAAACCATCCAATAGAAATAACCGCAGCTTACTGAAACCTCGTGTGAAACCCACCAATAGGAATCAATACAGCTTGCTGAGACCCACCAATAGAATTACACGCAGCGTACTGAAATCCACCAATAGAAATAAGGCACTGATCCATATAACTGATCTGTAGTGACTATAAACGCAGACAGACAAACAGACAGAAACTGCGGGTGGTGCGGGCTGTAAATTCAAAATGGCGGAAAAACAATGGCAAGTTGTAAACAAACAAGAGATCGAGAAAAAATGGCCTTTACATTTCCTTGTTTTTGAAGATAAGTCCGGACAACTCCGGGATGCATTAAAGGAAAACAAGGTTGAGTTTTTAAGCTGTTTATTTTTATCTGTTAGTGCATAAGTGTGGAAAAAATTATATAAGTAATAAAATATTTTTAAAACGTTTTAACATATGACAGCTGAGGTCATTCCGAAAGCAAAAGCGATTGTATTAGTTATTATTATTTATACATATTGACTTTACCTTATTACCTGCGTACGTTTTAATTGAAATAATTTAAATTGTTTTTGCTGTATTATACGATAGTGTATTGTACAGTACTGCCAAAACAGACGAAGATACACTAATATAAAACATGCTTATGTGTTATGTCAGCGAATAAGTGTTTATAATATTACATTTGAACCCTATTTTTTAACAGACACATTTGGCACCACACAAATATGCCTGCTTGAAAGTAGTGTCTGCTTTAAATAGGGGTTATAATAATATTGTTTTATTAACCTGAGGTTTGTGTCCATTTATATTAAAAGGAGTGCCCCATTAAAAAAGGACCACCATGTTTGAGATATCTTCTTCAAGTAGTTCAGACACAAACCATGGCAGCTTATTGTGAAGCACTATCTACACTGGGCCACCATGTTTGAGATATCTTTTTCAGATAGTTCAAACACAAACCATGGCAGCTTATTGTAGATTCTACAATGTAGAATACTACCTACACTGATCCACCATGTTTGAGATATTTTTTCAGGTAGTTCAGACACAAAACATGACAGCTTATTGTAGAATACTACCTACACTGATCCACCATGTTTGAGATATTTTTTCAGGTAGTTCAGACACAAAACATGACAGCTTCTTCTCTTAACCTAGGTTGATATTGAAAACCTTGATCCTTGTGGTCGAACAGCGCTACATATTGCTGTGTCTTTGAGTCGTACAGAATGTGTGAAAATATTGCTAGATCATCACGCAAATGCGAATGCAGTGAACAAGCAAGGATGGAATGGTACGATAATTTAAGACAATTTACATAATATAATTCATCATAGGTATTTTTAAGAGCACTTGGGTTGAGGGCACTCTAATACCCCCTCCCTCAAAATGTGTCAACTCCACGAATCCCCCTCTCCTGCCTCCCTGAGAAAATTTAACCCACCTGGTAAATCCCACCCTTCTAGAAAACAACCTCCTGCCACTACAAAAAGTCCCCCTTAAGGATCGAATTTGCCCCCCTCCCTGCAATGGGTGTGGTCATTTGTGGGAATGAGTATGACACCCCCTCCCTGTCCTTGATGAGCCACGTTTTTATTGCAAAATCAAAACAAAATTTTATTTCAGTTTGTCAAGAGGCAGTTAGCAGCGGAGACCCAGAGATACTCTCCCTTGTATTCAAACAACGAGAATTCCAGAGAGCAACCCAACGCCTTGATGGAATACCTGAACTTCTGGATGACCTTAATGCTGTAAGGTTGAGTCTGTATGATAAGTAAAATCATTGATGTATGCTATCAAAGTCTCAGCAGGCATTTAGCCAGGTGGCCGTCCAACCGTCCTATAGATAGCTACTTTAAAAATAAGACGACCATGGACGGCATAAGAAAATGTTTTCTTTAATACCTACAAAGTTGTCAACTGTTGTTTATCTATTCTACAAGAAAAGACACTGAATTATGAGTACACCACCACTGATTTCAAGCTCCATGTTTTTTTACCATGTTCATCAAAGAATAGGTTGTCACACCCACGGTATTTTTTGGACAGCCAGATTTGACACCCTGGCTAAAAGCCTTTTGCATGTGTAAATTTTGAAGGATTGTAGGAAATGTTTCAGGAAACTGACTCAGTGTTTAAAAGTTTAACACTTCCCTCAAACATTTTTTACAAATCTTTCAAAATGAATGCAAATGAATGCAAAATATTCCTACTGTGATCACAGAAACTTTGATAGTGTAAGCCAGGCTTTGGTTGATGACATCGCTCAGAAGAAATACGCATTGATTTTTTTAGGCTCCAGATTTTTATATTGAGATGAAATGGGAATTCACAACATGGGGTAAGCTAGAAATGAGAATTTTGAATTTTTCATTTGCACCTTAAAATCCAAATGCTTTTTTCTTTACGAGCAAAATTGTCCAGCATTAAACACTATATAGAGTCAGACAACCAATGAACTGCATCTGGAAGAATTCTTGTGCACTTCATGATTTAATGCCAATTTATAATCAAATGACATTAAGGGCACATCAAGGTGCAATGCAACGTAATGGGTTAAACTTTTTTTGCAGTTCCTTTTATGTCGAGAATGTGCCCTAGTGATACGTACAGAATATTTAAGCAAGGCTGTAATGTCCGAGTAGACACAACCTTAGTTGGATTTGATCAGAATCTTGTCGACTGGGAACGAGGAAACATGAGTTTTGTTTTCAAAGGCACAGGTAAAGTGGACTTTATTTAAGAAGGGGAACAAAAACCTGGTTAGCATTAGGGGCGGCGCCAGTGTAGGTCACGTGGATAATAAACAGCAGGAGGTACAACTACAAATCTCACAGCTTCTAAACAAGATGTCTTCGCATTTCTTGTTCCCAGTTGTTGACAAGTCTGGAACAAGTTGTTATGTAATATTTCAAATCCGACTATGAGGTCTGGACTAGATTTCAAGTTCACGCAATTTGTTGGCCGGAGGATTTGAAATGACATCTCATACGAATAAATCACAACGTAACGTGAGATGAATTTATTTTAATCTAGTCCTAGGACTGGATCAATATACATCACCAGGTATCCAGTATTACCATGTGAGCAAAATAAAGCAATATGGTTGGCTAATTTACTCATGAATTATTAATGAATTTGAGATCATCTTGTAACAAGGTTGATGAGGCCACAACAGACTCTCAACAAGTTGTTCCAACAAAACTGATCGTCTACACATAATTGTTACGAACAGCCTCTATTAGTCTTGTTGGAACAACTGCAAGAAACTAATGCTAATTGTTTTCAGTATACAGTATGCATGCAGTAACCTTGTATTTGGAGGTCAATAAATTTCATGCAGCAGCCGTTTTACTGTTTCTTTAGCGGAGGGTGCTGAGTTTTTCGAAATCGATCACGAACGAAAAATGTTTACGAAAGAAGAACTTCAAATGAGGTAGGTTAATCATGTGAAGTCAGAAACGATTTTAAACTTTATTTCAGCATTTGAATAAGACTATTTTTGGAGTTGATAGGCATTTACTCTACAGGTTTAAATCATAGCTAGCTCCACTTCCTTCAACCCTCCAACGGTTTACGAGTTGATCTGTTTCTCCAGAATTCTTAATCCATCCAAAGCGCATATTTTAAAATTTGAATTTGGAGCTAGACTCTCACACGATGAAGGCAGCGTCACTCCACGACTCTTCTGCAGTTTATGAACAGCTAGATTTCTTCTTGCTTAGGGATGAAACTCGAGATCCCAACAGATTCGAGACGACACAAGAGGCGATCAATACCAGGATGAGCTCACCAAACATCTCGACAATTTTAGACACAGATTCGATAGCTTTTACGAAGTATGTATACGTTTTTTTAGCATTGGATGTTGTTTTTAAGAGAAAAACATAACTCGAGTATTCACTAGCTCACCAGGTCGGTGTCGAGTAGTCGTGCATGCAAACCAGAACGAAAGTTGGTGAGAGGTTATGGTAATGTCTAAAAGGGATGGACAAGAGGTAGTTTATACGAGATGGTTCCAAAATTGAAATAAAAGTTTGCGTTAGTATTAGGGTTAGTGTGGGGGTTAGGGTTAGGTGTGGGGTGAGGGTAAGGTTTAGCATTGTTGCAATTGGCTGGTTGTTGATTCTTTTACGTTTTAATGATCTTAAAAACTGGCGGCCATCTTGAAAACCTGTCTCTATTCCATCCCCTTTAACCACGACCGAGAGTTTGCATGAGAGAGTTCCACAGTGGCGAAACTAGCCATGGCATGACTGGTCATGCTATGCAAATAAACTTGCATCCAAATAGATTAAAGACAATACATTTCTAAAGATTTGAAATCATTGAAATCATTTGCATAGCATGACCTGTTGCTATGGCTAGCATTCCCACTGGAGTTCCACCGACTGTCATGGCTCGGGCAAGCGAGAACAAGAGTTGCATGAGAGTTGACGAGAGTTGAGAAGCGAGAGTTTCAATGAAAGTTTTCTGAACTTTCATGTCCTGGTCAAACGAGAACAAGAGTTGCATGAGAGTTGAGAAGCGAGAGTTTCAATGAAAGTTTTCTCAACTTTCATGTCCTGGTCAAACGAGAACAAGAGTTGCATGAGAGTTGATGAGAGTTGAGAAGCGAGAGTTTCAATGAGAGTTTTCTCATCTTTCATGTCCCGGTCAAACGAGAACAAGAGTTGCACGAGAGTTGATGAGAGTTGAGAAGCGAGAGTTTCAATGAAAGTTTTCTCAACTTTCATGTCCTGGTCAAACGAGAAAAAGAGTTGCATGAGAGTCGATGAGAGTTGGCGGTGAAATGGAAGCGAGAATTGCAACTGGCATCAACTCTTAGTTTGTGTATCGTAGGCATAAAACGATGTGGGGATGGGGAAGTGATAAAACAGAAACTATCGAAGATCATGAAGGGAAGATGTATGACGCAACTGGTATTGATGTTGTCACGAGGATAAGATTTGAACATTTAACTGATGATGATAAAGTGCGCGAGAAAGCAAAAGGTTTGTTGGAGGTTAAATTTTATGTAAACTTACCAGATACACCCTTCCGGAAATTACGTTTACCTTGGCTATGTAGAGCCTCGTTTTCACCATTGAGACGTTGGGCTTGAGGCTTGATAGCCAAGATGACGTAATTTCCAGAAGCATGTGTTAACTTTATATTTCACTTATATAGCTAAACAGTTCTCTTTAGAGGTCCAGTAAGAGACATTTCTTACTTGTCAAGTGTTACTACAGAAAGAAACTTGCTTCAAGGAACCTGCGGTGCCTGACAAAGTGGAAATATAACTATTATGTTTATTTCTTGATTCAGTATCTGGTTCTGGGACTGGTCTTCAGGGCGTCTTGTCTGGAGAACAACAAGAAACAGTCTGTGATTTGGAGGTATTTTATACTATTCGTCTCCAATCTCGTACCCAGAGTATGCCCGTTCGCAGGTTAGGTTTATGCCCAGCACCTAACCAGCGAACGGGCATACTCTGGGTACGAGATTGGTTCGTCTCTTGTCCTTTGTTTTTCTGCATAGTCTTTGAGGTAACTATTTTATTGATCTGAGGTAACTATTTTTAGGATCCAGAGATTGTTGATCGGCATTCACTCAATCCGTACAATTTGTCACTTGAAGAATATTTCAATTTGCCGCTGAACAAATCAAAGAAAGGTATGCATGTTTAGGGGTATGTAGTTCAAATCTGGATTCGACTCCTGTAGTATGTAACTACTGTATTTGAAAATGAATTTGAAATTGGATTTGGTTGTCTGATTTCCACCTCAGCTGGACATGTAGCGACATTTCCCTGTATCTGTACCCACCGGCTTAATGGTTTCTAATCAATCTATTCAGACATAGGTCGTCCAAAAGATATGATCAGTAAGACACAAAAGTTCAAGGCTACATTATGTCTATGTCCAACTTATCCGTTATCGCTACAACAGCAAGTTCTTCCTGTTATTAAATTGTTGGTAAGTTTGCATTATCATGTATGTTTCATCATAATATCTGATTCACTTTTTAAACTCGGGTGTATCAGCCACGTTATAGATATATAGGTGGCTGTAAATCAGATTTACGGTAAACGGACAAGTAACGATCATGTAATTCATCTTCTATTTCTAATACGTTTATATTTTATTTAGGCAATCAGCAATTCTCATTTTGCGAAGCTGCGTGATTTTGTTGCCCTCCATCTACCATCTGGATTCCCGCTCAAAATAGGTGCGTAGTTTTCCAATTTTAAAAATAGTTGGTCAAGCCGTGTCCAGCGAAGGCCTTTCGTTAGACTAGTAGTCAAGTAGTTTGTCTACCACCGTCTCGAAGAGTCTTCGCTCGAAATGTCGAAGTTCTCCTTGTATTTTTCAGGTAGTTGTATCCCTATCAATCCACAGTATTCAAAATAAAACTTATAGATTGTTTTATTTGTTTTTAGAAATTCCAGTATTTCATTTTCTCAATGCTCGTATTACGTTTGGAAATATAAATGGCATGCTCACCCCAGTCTCCGGCGTCCAGTCACAAGTGACGTCAGAACCGAGCACTGAGGAAGAGAATGGCAACGAGTCTAGAGTCACGTGTTCAGTTGACATGGAGCGGTTTTCACCTCCGTCTGATTATGCCGATAGAAGCAGAGTGGAACAACATTCAGGTGGGTTCAACTGGGAGTTCGCCTGCGTGCAGGCAAGGACTTAAACCTCAGCGGAAACGTTGTTTCCTAACCATGATTCCTGAAGGTGGACAAACCAGGAAACACGTTTAAACACAAACCAGTTATTGTAGAATACTGCCTACACTGGACCAGCACGTTTGAGATATATTTCTCAAGTAGTTCAGACACAAACCACGACAGCTTATTGTGGAGTATCCAGTGACGATGGTCAACTTCAAGGCTACTAACTCTTGACGAAGGGCCTTCGCTCGAAACGTCGAGTTTCTGCTTATTTTTTAAGTTAGTAATATAACCACTCAGCACAGCATTTTCACATTGGTACTACCCACACTGGTACAGACAGTTTTAGTATTGTAGAATACTACCTACACTGAACCACCATGTTTGAGATATCTTTTTCAGGTAGTTCAAACACAAACCACGACAGCTTATTGTAAAATACTACCTACACTGAACCACCACGTTTGAGATCTCTTTTTCAGGTAGTTCAGACACAAACCACGGCAGCTTATTGTAGAATTCTACCTACACTGGACCACCACGTTTGAGATATCTTTTTCAGGTAGATACAAACCACGACAATTCATCTTATATGTGTTAATGTGTTATATATACCACAGGTCAACATATGCAAAGTGAGGAAGAACTATTAATTCAACTGGCGATACAACAAAGCCTTGCTGACTCAAACCTTGACGGTGATGTTCGCCAAGAGTCCTGGGCACAAGGAACACGTCTATCAAACAGTGAAGAAGAAGATATTCAAAGGTAAGAGCTGAACGTGGCACTGTGGTTGACGGGATTTTTGTATTCTGCAGTTGTTTGATTATATTTTCATGTGAGGCATTATATTCCTTGTGCAGTAACACTGAGAAATAGGGAATGAACCTTACTGGACCTGTTGGAAAAACAGTTTAGAACTGATAGAGCTATCCAGTGTAAATAAAGTTAATTTGGTTTAGATTTCGTCCTGCATAGTAACACTGTATCAATAACAGATGATCCTTACTGGACCTGTTGGAAAAACAGTTTAGAACTGATAGAGCTATCCAGTATAAATAAAGTTAATTTGGTTTAGATTTCGTCCTGTAGTAACACTGGATCAATAAGAGATGATCATTACTGGGCCTATAGGGAGAACAGTTTAGAACTGATAGAGCTATCCTATGTAAATCAAGTTAATTTAGTAAGATTTTCAACTGTAGTGAAGGAAATATTAAAAGAGTTTAAAACTCAACGTTTGATGATTTTGAGAATGATTTTCTTGTTCAGAGCAATATGTGAAAGTCTTGTCAAACAGGGAGGAACAAGTGACGCTGCACAAGCGACGAGCGAAGGAGGGGAAGCTACAAGCTCTTACGATGAACAATTGCAAATCGCTTTGGCAATGTCGGAACAGGACATGATGTCAAAATCTCGCGAGACAAGGAATGATGATGATGAATTAGAAAGGATTTTGAAATTATCTCTCACGGAGAAATAAATATATTATATACAATATGAGATATACTAAGTATATTTTGCGGGCGAAAGATATTTATGATCTGCACCGGAGGCGTAAGGCTGAGAGAAAACTAGTAAAGTTCGCTGAGAAACATTGTTTCTTCACCTGACGGCGAATTCAATCAGGAAACATTGTTTCCTAGCCATGTTTTGCGAAGGTAGCTAAACCATCATATGTGGTTTCACTAAGCGCTATCGTGCAGCAGATGATGGTCAACCTGCAGTTATCAGAGTGAGAAAATAATGTCCTTCTTTTCATTATATGCAGTCTTCGATTTGGTGGCCAATCAAGTAAAATTGAGAGATTTTCTTGCCAATTTTCTTTCCACATTGGAGACGTAGTTTAATTTTCTTACCAATTTTCTTGTAAAATGAGGTATTTTATTTCAGAGATAATACTGTACGATATAGTGTAATAATGTAAAAATAAACTTCAATGAAACTAAATTTTATGGCCAATATGTCCAATATTCAAACATAGATAGCACAGTGTAACCACTATGGCCGTAGTAACATGAAGTGTTTCCACGCAGGCTAGCTTGGCGCTTTAATTTTTCCTGAATTCTAATTGGTTCTAAAACGCATTCTCTCTTCTCCAATCGACCAATCATGTTCAAGAACAATCCACGTGCATTTGCGCGAAATTAAAGTTCACATTTGGAAAGATGGTGGATTGACTAGAATTATACGGATGAATTTTTAGCTAACTTTTAGCCACTTTGGCCTCGAATTATACTTCAAACTCGACTTCAAAAGCTTCAAGATACAAAGGTGGGCAGTTCTTTGTTATATATATGTATTATTTTGCACCGTAGTTGTGTATAAACGCGTGTAAATTGAACGAAAAGTGGTGTACTTTTGAAACGCTGTCGAGACGAAGTGCAAATTAGCTATTTTAAAGTGACCGAAGTCGAAAGAACTTAGACAGCGCGATTCAACCACGAGACTTTGGGTAATATATAGTTTACTGTACATAAATAATATATCCTACAGACTATTTTTGTATCGACAAGTTTTTTACTGGCTTGTTTTGTACCGCTGAAAGTTGACAAGTTAGTTCAATGAGTTTGGGGCATCTTGCTCAATGGAAGTATCCGAAAGCTGATTTTTTGCAGATGGAAATTTCGAGCCTGGAACATTATATACAATTAATATAAAAGTGTAAAAATCACGTTAATTCTCTCTATTTTATGGACAAGTCTTGTATTTAGTGGTAATTAAAGCAGCAGAATTGAGAGATGCAGTCTATAAAATTCTTACCCTTCTATATATAATTGACCACCATCTTCTGTCGAAATCAATGAATTTGAGGGTGAATTTGAATTTCACGAATGGTAAAATGTGAAATTTCCAATGAAGCATATTTCATTTTCTTGTGAATTAATATTCACACTATTTTATTCAAAAAATTGTATTAATTACATAAATCAAATAAATTATTTTACATCAAATGTAATATTAAATAAATGAACTGTTGATTGTCATAATATACAATGACTTTCTGATGATCTTTTGAAATCATTAATTAATTATCACAATTATTACATAAATTGTTCATTAAATTGTTCCAATTATTACATAAGTGTGTCTAATTATAAATAAATAGAAGATTATTGACTAACTACAGTAGATTCTTAATGGTTAGAATTAGCATTGCACATTTGATATGAAAAGCTACATCTAAATATGTTTGGTCTGAGCACCATTTGAAAATTTTTATAATTTAACATATTACATTTAACTAGAGGGCACTCACAGACTGCATACCTCCGCCTACGCGCAAAATATTGAAGTAATCTATTGTTATTAGAATTTGAATGGCTGGTGCATATATTATGCACGTCCTAATTACGCATTCAGTATAAGTTTTATTTAATTGACTGGGAAAAGCAAGACAAACTTTTGTTATTTCTCATTCAATTTTTAACCAAATTCAACCAAATTTTAATCAGTTCTTCCTTAGCCGATGGGAAATGCACTCACAAAATTTCGTACGGATATGTTTGGTATTTCGTGAGTTATCGTGCTCACAGACAAACACACACACATACACACACACACACATACACACACACATACACACACACACACACACATACAAACCCAGATGATTACATAACCTCCTGGCGGAGGTAATGATAATTTAAACTTTTTCTTGATAAGTTCTTTGTAGTTCAATATATATGCTGCCTGTATTCTAAAAGCTCACTCACACTCAAAGAGTGGAGGTTCAATCTGAGCTCCTCTTGAGTGTTATTGCTTTTTTTTTCTAGTGTCATACCTTACTCGGTGACTACTCACCCTCCAGCTATTCAAAAACATAGCATTTCAAGTCTTTACCATATAGCCACATGGTCTTGCTACAAACTACTTTCAGAGGCACAGGCAGTCCCAAACAAGTGGTGTGGGGGTCATGTTTTATGATAATCTGAAAGCCACATATTTGGTATAGTTTATGTCATAAATGAAAGCATTATCAGGTTTTATGCCCCTTCCCCCTGGTTTCTCTTCAGTTTTGGAAGATTACAAAATTTCGAATTTTCCTGAAGAAAAATGAGGGTGGGGTGGACCCTCATCCCCCTGTGGCTATGACTCTGATTTTACTGTACAGCAGATGGTAGTCAACTGGCAACTGATTCATATCATCGTACATAGAAAAGATTCATTTTCTTGTTCCTCTCAGTGAAGTTGATCGACCGTCTGCTGTCTTGCAACGCTGACTGAAATCCACATTCAAACAGCTTTGCTTCTATCTCAGGCAGTATTAGTAGTATTGACTGGTTCTTGTTCGGCAACAACTGGATGGTCCATGTTCAATGTTACACTGCCTGTTTCCGTTCCATCTAAAAGAAGGAAGGATCATTGTTTTAGTATTTGCAGTTGACAAAACAAGCAGACATCCAGGGTGTAAATTTTAAGCTATAGTATTATTTATTAAGTCTGGTTTACACTATCAAAGTTTCTGTGAACACAGTAGGAATTTTGCATGCTAGGTAGATTCTAAGTTTTAAAGGATTTGTAAGAATTGTTTGAAGGAACTGACTCTCGCTGTTTAACACTGAGTCAGTTAGTGCCCTTCAAACATTCCTTACACATCCTTCAAAACTTAAAATTTACCAATGCAAAATTCCAAAATGACTGAGTCAAAGTATATAATTGCGACTTACTTATGAATTCTCTGTCGCCCTTCTTACTGCATTTTGTCTTGAGTCCATACATAAATCCCTTTTTACTGCCCATCAAAACGAGGTCAATGACAAATAGTGTTCCGAGTAGCAGACTAATGACGACTAATGGTACAACTAATTTTGTCTCGCTTTCACTGCCTGTAATAAATAGAATGAAGTGAGTTATTTATTTTTAGTGACATTCAACCAATCATCTTTTCTATAAAGCTAAGTTTTAGACGTCATCCAAGCTCTTTCCCCCCTCGTATAGTACGCTAGCATTTCAAGCCGTGACAGGTAGTTTTTCCAGCAGAGTTGATCAAAATTGCTCTGAAGATTAAAGCTCTGTTGTACTCGTTCGAAACTATTTTAAATTCATACAAAAGTAAAGGCAAGACTAACAAGATTTCCAATTACAATAATTTATTTCAAACAGTTTGTTTAGCCGTCATCCTGACGTCACCGTCTTGCATGCGTAACTCCTTAAAGGCCCATTTCCACTCAAGAAAAATTTCCACAACGGAAAATATTCCGAAAATATCATTGTTAAAAGATGACAATTTTAAAATATATTTCTGCAGAAAGTTGTTGGAATATTATTGGGTTGGGCAGTTACCCCTGCCGAAATTGTTGGGTTGGGCGATTGTCGTCCCCAACTGACTGAAACTCGCCAAATACATCACTCCAGACTCACTTTGTCTTTTTCCAACTTGTGCAGCTTTTGGTGGTGGTAACGGCTTTCTAATACATCGGCATGTCTTCAAACTGGTGGCCCAGCCGTTTTTGGAGCACTTGGCGAAGGCCATGGCACTGCATTGGCAACTACAGCTTGACTTGTTCCAGGACATACCAGAGGAGCAACTGGATGGAGCACTGGTACATTCACATTGACACGAGCGAGTGTTCCATAACTGATTCGCCGCGCAGGATCCACTGAGTTGTTGCGGGCAACTACAGGTGCAGGTAGGTTCATCCCAGTTATATCCCTCTTTAATACATCCTTCTTTGTAGCTGGCCTTACACTGACTTCTACAGCTGGTATGGTTTTTAAAAATTTGAGATTCGTACCCCAATGGAGTAACGACGTTTAGGGTGATATCTTGGGTCGTTGCAGCCACACACTCGCACTGCAGGGGGGAGATGAGGTCGATGTTAGTACACTGTCCCATACATCTGTGCATTTCCACATAGTATGGTCTGTTATTGTGTTTTGGGGGATCCACTTCGACAGGTACTCTCCATAGTTGGCAGTTCGCTGCACGTGCTTTGCTAGCTGGAAAAATATGGAAGAAAACTATTGATTAACAATTTAATTTCATGATGATTTGATAATTTATTTAATGTGGATTACTTAGGGTTTAACAATAAGTCCGTTTCCTCAAACTTTTCTTACAAATCCTTCAAAACTTAAAATTTACCGATGCAAAATTCCCACTGTGATCACAGAAACTTTGATAGTGTAAACCAGGTTTAACACATGGTCACTGTTTTTTTAGTCCTGGGATTTTTTTATCTGACAATATGGCCAAGATTCTTTTTCAGAGTGAAATGAAAATATTGTTTCTATTAAGCTTGCTTAAGCTCGCTAATATATATAATTTTCGTTCAGGAGTTATTGAAGTTTCACAGGCTGACGTCACATTGTTTGAACAGGCCATTTGACTAAAAACAACTTAGCAGTTAGCTTATTTCTTTGCCAATACTCAGAAGAAATGGATGACACTTTCAGCATATATAGCGCTTATAAAATAACACATTTATGTTAGCAGAGATACTGTCACGGAAACATTCTCGGCCCCAGTTCTCTCACTATAAATTCCTATTCTATTTTACGGTTTTAGCAGATTAAACTACGAAAACGTCGTTTGGGGGCAGAGAGGATCTGGAACCCAGTGTGTTCCCATGGCAACAACATAACTGCAATAGTGATGTGTATTTTTATGAGCACCACACATGTGCAAAGTTTCAACTATTTCTACTGAATACGTGCAGAGATATAAGCTAATTTATAACGTGTCACGTGGTCAGTCAGACAGTGACAGTGCAGATCATGTGACGTCAAGATTAAAATGTAAACACTTCAATAATTCCTGAACGCAATAAGTAGATATTGACAAACTGAAAATGGCGTTTAAAAGGGGCCTTCTAGGGAATATAGTAAAAAAATTCGCTTCATATGCATTTAAAATTTCAACACTTCAGCATAAAAAATTTCAAAACTTCGTAACTCTTGAACCAAAACTGGTAAAGACTTGAAATTTTCAAAGAAGACTCTTAATAAGGATCTACTGACAAAACATATAAAACAGCTAGGTTTAAAACGTTCGTATTTTACATTTGAAAAAAAAAACCGGGATCTGTCTATTCAAGGACGCATTTTTAACTGTTTGTGGAAATGTAAAAGGGAAATCCCTTGCTTGGGAAAGTCCCAATAGCTATTAGCTTTAAGCAAAGATTTCCTTAACATTACATGCTATAGAGCTTGTAGGAAATCAGACCATTGTCAACCACTTATTTTAACAAGTTTTAACATGATAATTTACAAAATTAACTTTTTTTTTTTCAGTTCTTAACTGTTAAATGTCCAAAAGTTTTGAATTTTTATTAAGATTGTTAGTATGTTGTCAGCTTGGTTGTGGCTGAGGCGATCTCAATGTTCTCGGCGTCAAAAGAAAATACAAGCAAAGAAAAATACAAGGACGCATTTTTTTCGAGAAAAATGAATTTTTTTTGATGTGCCGTTTAATTAAATTTCAAATGACGCGAGCCAACATATCACGACACTTTTGTATATAAAAAGGGCGCGTGAATTGAACAAGTCACATCAATTATCACAGAATAAGAAGTTATAGCAGAAGCGTAACTCTAGTCGTTTCCCTTATTGTTTTACGTCGACGAAAATTTTAACTCGCTCACGCCAATCCACGCCATCCTGGCTAGTACAGCCGGAAGTTTTTATCAGGTTTTGGTAGGTACAAAGTGCCGGTTGTACCAGCTAGGATGGCGTGATTGATGACGAATCGCTTGTAAAAACGCGGACAAATACTTGCTTGAGTTACGCTTCTGCTGTACCTTCCTATTCTGTGATATTATTAGCACTGATGAAGATCTGGGCTTACGGATCGAAAGCTTTGCAGTAATAAATTTACGCGGTGTTTCCACAAACAAAACTGTTATAAAAATGAAATTGTCAGCGGAAAAATAAAAGGGAAAATCCCTTGTCTTGGGAAAGTCCCGTAACATTACATGCAGGCTAATGTAGTAAAACCACCTTATCGGATAAAATGTATCTATACAGGGTACTAAAAAATATTTTGTTACTTGTGTTCTTTTTCTTTGCTTTTGGGACATGAGCGAACATACCGATCCTGTTTTATGTAAAATACGAAAGTTTTAAACCTGGCTGTTTATTAAATGTTTTGTAATCATAATTGACAGTCTTCATTGAAGATTTCAAGTCTCTACCAGTTTCTCGAATGCTCTCGGTGAAATTCGGTGAATTAAACTGCATCAGGGATAAGAATCACTCGCGCAAGTGTGATCCCCATGAATCGTATATTTTATCTTTAATATATCCTGGTCTTACACTGCATGAACTCTATGTATTGTCTAGTCACAACCAGTTGGCGAGCAACGACTCGCTATGACTCTAGATGTTAAACGTAAATAACATAGCTACATACCTTGAACTTCACTGAACACAAGAACTATTCCTAGAAACAACATTCCTTCAATGCCCGAACCCATATTTCTTGACTTGTTGTTTTGACGTATAATACGAATTATTAATCAACGTTTCGCTTTTAACTCGTCGGTCTATTTTTAGGTAATTACATATAGTTAAAAAAATAAAATACCTGACTAACCGGTTAGCCTGCTTGTGTATGCTGTTATCATAGACAATCCAGAAGACATTCTTGAACAATCCAGATTGTCTTCTGGATTGTCTATGCTGTAATACCGGTCTGTGAAAATTGGTAGTTGGTTTTGATTGGTAAATAAACTCAGTTGTATAGAGCAACTGGGGGTCGGCAAGCAATGCCACGAATTTTCACATAATCACATACCATACACAGGCTACCTGAGACCAACCTAGTTAAAAATACCGTGTAAGCTGTATTTTGACACTGGAAGTTAAAAGAACTTGGATAGGGCGATTCAGCCATGATAATTTGGGTAATATATAGCTTACTGTACATAAATAATGCATCGGTTTATGTTTTTGTTGGCTTGTTATACAACGACTGAAGGTTGAAGAGTTAGTCCAATATTCCAATATCATGATGGTGGGCAACCTGTAGTTTATTGATATCAGAGTCAGAAAATCATGCAGGGTTCGTAGCGGTCTTTGAAATCCCGTAAAGTCTTTAAATTTGAATGCAGGTCTTTAAGGTCTTTGTAAAGTCTTTGAATTGTGTGAAAAAGCGAAGAAAATCTTTAAAAGTCTTTAAATTATTTAGTGAGTATTTGATTATACAATTTCCTATGGAGATGTCTTGTATTTGGTGGCAAAGCAGTAGAATTGAGAGATATAGTCTAATATTCTTACTTTTTTATGCAAGTGTCAACATTACTCAATTGGCTGAACAAAAATCTGCGTGGAAACCAATGAATTTGAGGGTGTGTTTTGATTGCATTTACACACGATGCATTCACGAATGGTAAAATGTAAAATTTCCAATGAAGCATATTTCATTTTCATGTGAATTAATATTCACACTATTTTATTCAAAAAACTTGTTTTCGTACAATTGTATATTAATCACATAAATCAAATAAATTATTTTACATCTAATGTAATATTAAGTTAGTGAACTGTTGATGATCATAACTATACACAATGACTTTCTGATGATCTTTTGAAATCATTAATTAATTATCTCAATTATTACATAAATTGTTCATTAAATTGTTCATTAAATTGTTCCAATTATTACATAAGTGTGTCTAATTAAATAAATACAAGATAATTGACTAACTACAGTAGATTCTTAATGGTTAGAATTAGCATTGCACATTTGATATGAAAAGCTACATGTAAATACGTTTGGTCTGAGCACCATTTGAAATTTTTTATAATTTAACATATTACATTATTTAATAATAATTTAAAGTTATTCTTGATAAATATATATAGTTCAATATATAATATTATAATTTACACATCCTAACAGGATTACCTAGAATAATTATTATAAACCGAGACATCAACATCTAGTGAAGTAAAGATATTTTCCTGACCAACCCTTGGTAGAAATGACCATATAGCCACAGGGTCTTGCTACAAACTACTGTCAGAGACATAGCCAATCCCAAACGAGTGATGGTGGTGGGTGGTGGTGGTGGTGGTGTGTGTGTGTGTGTGTGTGTGTGTGTGTGTGTGTGTGTGTGTGTGTGTGTGTGTGTGTGTGACGTTTTATGATAATCTGAAAGCCACAGCTTTTGAAAGCATTACGAGGTTACGTCTCTCCCTCCGGTTTCTTTCCAGTTTGGGAAGAATTACTGAAATGGGGGGGGGGGAGTGGACCCCCATCCCCCCGTGGCTATGACTCTGACTTGACTGTACAACAGATGGTGGTCAACTGGCAACTGATTCATATCATTGTAGAAAAAGATTTCGTTTAATTTTCTTGTTCCTCCGAAGTTGACCACCGTCTGTTGTCTTGCAACGCTGACTGAAATCCACATTCAAACAGCTTCGGTTCTATCTCATACAATAGCGATTGGTTGTTGTTCGGTATAATGATTCGTGTGCTTGCAGTTCTTGCTCATGTCCACACTGCCCGTTTCCGCTTCAGTTCCATCTAAAAGAAGGAAGGATCATTGTTTTAGTATTTGCAGTTGACAAAACAAGCAGACATCCAGGGTGTAAATGTTAAGCCATAGTATTATTTATTAAGTCCGGTTTACATTATCAAAGTTTCTGTGAACACAGTAGGAATTTTGAATTGGTAAAATCTAAGTTTTAAAGGATTTGTATGAAGGAATTGACTCAATGTTAAACACCAAGTCAGTTGCCCCTCAAACATTCCTTACACATCCTTCAAAACTTAAAATTTACCAATGCAAAATTCCAAAATGACTGAGTCAAAGTATATGTAATTGCGACTTACTTATAAATTCTGTGTCACCCTTCTTCTCACTGCATTTTGTCTTGAGTCCATACATAAATCCCTTTTTACTCCACATCAAAACGAGGTCAATGACAAATAGTGTTCCGAGTAGCAGACCAATGACGACCAATGATACAACTAATTTTGTCTCGCTTTCACTGCCTGTGATAAATAGAATGAAGTGAGTTATTTGAGTGACATTCAACCAATCTTTCTTACAAAGTTAAGTTTTAGACGTCATCCAAGCTTTGTTGACAACGGCAAAATGCATATTTTCACGCCCTGTATAGTACGCTAGCTGATTTCAAGCCGTGACAGGTAGTTTTTCTAGCAGAGTTGATCAAAATTGTTCTGAAGGTTAAAGCTCTGTTGTACCGTCGTTCGAAACTATTTTAAATTCATACAAAAGTAAATGCAAGACAAGATTTTCATACAATAATTTATCAGTTCAAACAGTTTGTTTAGCCGTCGTCCTGACGTCACCGTCTTGCATGCGTGACTCTTAAGGCCCATTTCCTCCACTCAAGAAAAGTTGCCATGGACGGAAAATTTTCCTAAAATATTATTGTTAATTAAAAGTTTAAAATTTTTAATTTTAAATTTTTTTCGACGGAAAATTTGTGTTGGCCAATCACATTTTACAAAATTTTCTTTCTGCGCAAAATTGTGAAAATGAGCCTTATTATTGGGTTGGGCAGTTACCCCTGCTGAAATTAACGGGTTGGACGGTTACCCCTACCGAAATTATTGGGTTGGGCGATTGTCGTTCCCCACTGACCGAAACTCGCCCAATTCATCACCCGAGACTTACTTTGACTTTTTTCAACTTGTGCAGCTTTTGGTTGTGGTCTAATACATCGGCATGTCCTCAAACTGGTGGCCCAGCCATTTTTGGAGCACTTGGCGAAGGCCATGGCACTGCATTGGCAACTACAGCTTGACTTGTTCCAGGACATACCAGAGGAGCAGGTGGATGGAGCGCTATTACATTCACATTGACACGAGCCAGTGTTCCAGAACTGATTCGCCGCGCAGGATCCACTGAGTTGTTTCGGGCAACTACAGGTGCAGGTAGGTTCATCCCAGTTATATCCCTCCTTAATACATCTCTCTTTGTAGCTGGCCTTACACTGACTTCTACAGCTGGTATGGTTTTTAAAAATTTGAGATTCGTACCCCAATGGAGTAACGACGTTTAGGGTGATATCTTGGGTCGTTGCAGCCACACACTCGCACTGCAGGGGGGAGATGAGGGCGATGTTAGTACACTGTCCCATACATCTGTGCATTTCCACATAGTACGGTCTGTTATTGTGTTTTGGGGGGTCCACTTCGACGGGTACTCTCCATGGTTGGCAGTTTGCTGGTGGTGCTTTGTTAGCTGTAAGAATATGGAAGAAAACTATTGATTAATTTCATGATGATCTGATAATAATTTATTTAATATGGATTACTTAGGGTGTCCTTGACCAATTCACCTGGGGCCGGTTGCTCAAAATTGGATAGCGGATTTAGTGCTAACCCTGGTTAAAATTTAACCTGCTGTTTTAGTTTATGTATTTCTGCACGTCTGTTTATTTTAAAACTTCAAAGAAGTGAACTCCTACTAATCCAGACAAGATTTCTGAACAAACATTCCCAAATTTACGAACAAGCTGTTGGATTTGAGTTTTAGGGTTGAGCTGTGGTTAATAAGCTAATCGACTTTCCAACAACTCTTGAGTTCACGTGGTCAACAACGTAAAGAGCGGAAGGAAACCGTATATTTTAATTCCTTCATTAACCATAGGAATATGAAGTAAATTAAACTGAATTGTTGGACATATGATCATTGTATAAAATGGTATAAAGCTAGTATTCTGGCGATTGATAATCATATGTTTCCTCGCAAAATGAGAGAGTTAATTCAATTAAAAATTTTCGTCACGCAAATGTATACAAGGGCTTTAAAATTTACATTTTTAATAAGGATATGTTTTCAAGAGTCAAATGACGGTTGATAATAATTGTAAACAGGAAGACGTGTAGAATATTATTCCACCTCCGTAGTTCAAAAAGGTCAAATTTTGATACAGCGTGATGCTGTGCAGATGATGCATCGTCATAAAGTTGATGTTAGCCAGACGTGTTCATATAATTACTAGAATTATGTGCGATCACGGGTGCGATGCGTGGTATCGTGTTTGCTATCTTCTGCACCGGAAGGTTGTGTATGACGCAAATATCTAAAATAGACCGGATTTCCCTTAATTTCCACATGACGTTGAGGGAAAGTTTGTTTCTGTTCGACAGTTATAACCACAACTGGCTATGGCCAGTGATCACTGGCTATGGCTAGGAAGTGCATTCTTAAAAGCCATGCACTCACTGAAATGCTAATTGAATTCAAATTATATTGGAACGAAGGGATGTTCGTATCGTACATCATTGTTGGAGGGATTTGTAGTTGGGAATTTCAAGTAGAATTTTTATACATTTATTAGATCTAACCATATAATAGGCCCTCGAACATGCGGTCCTGCAATTGCGGTGCACACACAGTTGTTCTGCTCTCACCACAAGCTATAAGTTCATGTATAAGTACCAAGTGAATCACAAGCGCGAATTAAGACATACTGTACATGTGTTGGTGTGATAATCTTTCGATTTTTCGGTAAAAACCAACTTAATTAAATGTAGATGTTTGAATAAATACCAAGGTTTATTATTCCGAACAGACTAACGGACTTACGTGGCGAATATCAAGCGATGTCTAACTTGCTTTGGGCACCACAAGCTATTGGGCATTTCCTGTAGGATACTGGTCACTCGATCATGGGCACTCGGTCTTCGAACGTCATCGGAATTTGCCTGTAGCGTTTCTACGTTTTATTAAACGTCACGTCGTGTGCATTTTAAGTACAGTAGAGCAAAGTCTTTTCAGGGATAACAAACTACTGGAATTCATGTACGTAATGGTAGTAATTGCAATTAGTTACGCTTGCTACATTTACGTCCTGTGGTCGGCATGGTGTACCCCCGTGGCTGTTGCGTACATTTAGTTAATCAAATTGTAGCTTCGATTGTAGCAACTAATTCACGTTCTAAATGGTATAATTACGTTCGAATAGTTATGTTAGTTATATTATTTGCACTGATGAAGATCTGGGCTCACTGATCGCATGCTTTACCAAGTAAACGAACATGGTTGTTTGCCACAAAACTGTAGCGGACGTTTCGGGTGAGTGGATGGGTGGATGGGGGGGCTTCTGGAAATAAATAACGTACGAAATAGCCAGAGATGAAGCATGTTACCACCACAATGACTGGAGATTTGAAGGATTCTTCTGTGTTGTATGTTTAAGACTATCGTATTAAATCCACAGCTTATAGTTTGTTTATTTTGAAGATCAGTAAATTGTTATGGTAATTGAGTTAAGATATTTAAACTGCTTCATTCACAACTCTCAGCATGAGTTGAGAAATAGCTTGCCCAGTAGTAGGTTAATTGCTTAAAATCACAAGACCAAAACCAAATGATAAACTATCTGCTTGCAAAATCAACAGTCCTCGTCACGAAGGAACCGGAAAGCATTAAAACATCCGAAGACGTCGGGGCACGGTCGGGGACCTCAAGTGTCGGCAGCCTTTTGGCGTAAGCACGCTTTCAAAAAAAAATGAAGAATTTTTATATCTCCTTATTTTATCTTTGTGTTTCTCTCCTATGAAATCCGTGTTTGGTTTGGGCGTTTATGTACACTTTAGTTGTAGTGTATGCCTGTGTGTATTTGGTTGAGGATCAGAAATTTCAGAATTGAACTATCTGAAAAATATTGGAAGGCCCTAAGTCTGGAAGTTAACAGACAATACCAATCCTCGCACACTCATGCAAATCCAAAACAACTCAAGATATTTATAGATGAAAGATTGAAATCTAACACGAATATTAAATATACGCGCCTAATCAAATTTCTACAAGTAGAAGACAGTGATATAAAGGGAACCGGATTCAATATTACGTGTGCTGGAACTGAGAGAAAGGACAGAAAGCAAGGAAGTGCGTAAAACGTCTTGAAGTTGTGGGAAGTATGGAGCGGAATGCTGGCTAATCTCCGGAAATAAGAGCGGACATAAGAAATGTTTACAAATTCATTAAAAGCAATTCAAGTCACGAGTCGAGCGATGGAATGCTTCTTGCGGTCTTTTACCATTACCAATACCCCACTAGGCGATTTTTAAGTATTGAAATTAAATGGTGGTATCTCGCACGTGGGGGTCTGTGTAGGTAGTAAACTACAGTGTTCTAGAAAGGATTTGTTATTTGATATTTTGAGCGAAGGTTCCCTCCAGGAAGTTAATAATTATTGAACTGAATCCACAATATCACTGCTAAAATATTGTCCATGATTCTCGCTATATATTGGCCAGCTTGCTCTATTTAATTACTCCAATTTACTCCAGATTCCCGCTGTTCGCCACACACGCAACTGCCATGAATAAATTTCAATGTGCATTAAGCGTTGCATATTACTGTATTTGGTATATAGACATGGCTGTACATGTTCATGTACATCCTTTACCATGGGCAACGGAAGCCAAGATGGCAGATATCATTAACATTTTATAGTAGGCTCTATTTTTACCCAGTATTTATATAGAGGCTGGTCAAGAATCACCCCGAACTCTGGTGCGTAGTAAAATTTGAACAGACACTTGTTTGTTTACTCAATAAACTCACTCCTTGATCCTGGTTATAGCCATTCGTAACATGAGTTCGTATGATTTTACCGTAACATGACATGGTAGTGTAAAATCAGAATCAGACTACACTTAGAACTACTGAATTTATCGTATACTCTCAACCGATTCTGTCATATTGGTTGCTAGGTATTAATGTATGATAAGGTGGCTTCACTGCGTTACCCTTCCACAGATGAACTCGGTGAAACTCAGTAAAACTGCATCAGTGATAAGAATCAATTGAGCAAGTGTGTTTCCTATGAATCGTATATATTTACTTCGATCTATCCTGGCCTTACACTGTATGTACTCCATGTATATATTTACGAGTCAAAACCCTGGACAAACACAATTAAGACACATACCTTGTCCCTGAGCTTCGCTGAAAGCAATAACTGATAGTAGAACTAGAAACACTGCTCTTTCAACGGAATTCATATTTCTTGAACTTTGTGCTGGTTTGTTACTTTGACTTGTACTCTTCAGTTTCTCGATGTTCCTTCTTTGCTCTGTATGTGTATCTTAGCTTCTTTAGCCACGAGTGTCTAAATATATATAAGAAATTGTCAGTGCCCACTCACACGTATGGACCAATCACAGAAGGCGTGGAGTCAAGTGTTTCCGCAACGAAACGACTTACTCTGACTGAGGAAGTGAAACAAAACCTGAAATAAATTTCACCGACCGTGGGTTGAGGAATGAAAGGCTATATACAATTTCAGCTCTGTCGCTTTTATGTCCTCAAATACTGTTTACAAACGGCCTGTTTCCGTGGGGATTACACTTTACATTTGCATGTAAACCATGCTTAATGCACTAATTATGTCAGCTTGCCACAGAATTTGCAAATAACCTGTTCTAGGCACGAACATTTTTCACTCCGAACGTGGGCGAACGCCTTAATGCAATGAGTTTTTTAATGAAAACATCTGAATTACATTAGACTAGTAATATAGTTGCGTAATTTTCTCAATAGCCATTGAAATATTGATTTAGTGTTTAGAAATTTGTGGGGCACAGCAGGTATATAGTCTGTTGTAAAAATTAAAGCGTCGGTCTCTCTCATGTTTGATTTACAAAAACGTACATGCTTGAACTGGTCCGCCAGAAAAGGATGAAATTTTTCCACGTTTCGAATGCAGTACCTTCATTACAAGAATGAATTAATGTTGGCATAAATTAAGTAGATGAAAAATTGCTATACGGGTTTTTACTCTGTTGCTTCTAACTAAGATAATTTGAAGAGGATTTTTTCACAAACTTTAATTTCAATGATTTGAACTTCAAGGCATGCCGCATTCCGTTATATATTTTAATCCTCTTGACTTTAGTCTTCACAGATTACACGCCCTTAAATACTTCTGTTTAGTGTTAAACTACATGAAAAGGTAATTAATTTGCCCCTTAATTTAGGCTCGTTCATCGTCCAACATTTGTGGTCCAACAAACATCGAACATTTTTGGAATAATATTTTATGTACTATATATTATCAGCGTAATAGGCAAACTCGCTCCTATCAGGATCGGCAAAGTTTTGATTTAAAATACGGCTTGTATAAAAATTACGATCAGATACAGAGTAATTTGGATTGAACTACAAGGGAAAAGATTAAGCAAATCCCGGTGGAAGTTTTTAAATCATTTTTCCAAGTATAATTTCAACAACAAAAAACACTGAGAGGTCACCTAATAGATTAAGAGCATTTTGTCTGATAAATTAATGACATTGTTAGAGTGGAAAGCGCATTAATTATTACAGTACAGAATACTTGGAATCAAGTTGCCGCGGAAATGATTAAGGGGACGCCGGTGGAAAACTTTTTAATCTTTTCCAGCTAGTGGCAAATGGAGGTCACCTCAAAGAGTGTTTCGGCTTTTTAAAGTAATTTCATCGTTTTACTAAAAACCGGCACAGAAAACAGAGCACTTGTAAACATCGGCCGCGGTGTTTTTGCTAACTTTCTGCCTACGAGTTTCGGTTTCGTAATCTTTTTGCAACATACACAGTCGTAACTTAATAGCCAGGGCGGGCCAGTTGTTCAAAGCAGGATTAGTGCTATAACCTTGGGTCTAATTTGCCGTTTGGTTTGTGTATTTCCGGCATCTCTGCGGTTAGTTCTTTCAAAACTTTACAAAATAAAACTTCTATTGATCCAGACAAGATATTTCTGGAAAAATATTTCCAAGTCAATACTTCCAAGTTGTTGGGAAGATTGCTCTGAAATTTTTCATTAACCTAGGATTAAGCTAACCGGGTTTTGAACAACTGGCCAAACAGCAAACTAGAAATCACATTTGCAGGCCTTTTGGAATTAAGCTACTGCGGAAGAGATTATAAGAAAACACCAGAGGAAGATTTTTCAATCTTTTCCAGCTAGTGGAAAATGAAAGTCACCTCTTGGATTAAGAGTGATTTATCTGTTGAACTTATATAATTATGAGTCTTTTCCGTCATAGCTTAATCCAGAATATTCTAACGTGTACACTCTGTACTGTAATGCGTTTTCTTGGAAAATGATGCCAATATTAAACGAGATGATATCTTCTTGGAAAACGAGACGGAATTAATACTCAGTATTTTTTTCAAATTTGGTGATTGCATGAGAACATTTTCTTGTTTTAGTAAAAGCAATTATCAGTCATGCATAATAAAATTTGTTATTATGATGTCGTGAACATAAACATAACTTGTTTTATGGCTTGTAAAATCCATCACTGATTTTTGAAAATCAATTTCCCTAATTGTTATTATTACGAGTCATTTAACACATAATGTGAACTTGAAAAGCAGTGTTTGTCAGTTAAATGTAAATAAAGCATCGGTTGAATATAGAAAACATTCGTTGACCTTCTTCAAAATAAACTCAATTATACTGCGATCCTTCGACTTGTATCTCGTATAGTATAAATAAAATGTAATTTGTTTTGGATTAAATTCTTTTACTTAAACCAGACTATCTCAGTTAACTTACATTCGTTTAATTTGTTTTGGTTCACGTGTAAAAACAACGTATAGTTATTGTTGCAAAACGTTCTGATCCGTAAGTCCGCACCTAATAATTTTAGACTTTGATTCAAGCTATACAACACGGTGTTTTACATCCATTTATGTGAACCCCAAATACGATTTTTCGTATAATATTTGGGTCATTCTTAAAACAAATGTGATATATCTTTGTAGCAAAAAGTTTCATATTTGCATTGTAGAAATCGTTGGATATCATGTCGTTTGCCGTTTGTAGCAAAGAAGGCAAACTAATTTGCAATTCATCTAACGACGTCACATCCGACAACTTTGGCAGTTTTGATGGAGATGAAGTTTTTTTACTACAAAGCGGATATATTGCTTTTAGAATGACACATGCAAAACTTTATATTTGGGGTTAATGGCACTTTAAACCAGGAGTAGTGAAATATTTTATTTAACATTTCAAAGACAGGTGTTATAAATATTTAAAATCTAGCTTGTACTATAAACATGTGTAGCGTTGTTATGTGGTTTGAAGTACAAATTATTTTGGCCTCAGTAAAATTGATGAGCTTGATGCTTTAGTTAACCTTGATTGTACGCAGATTGTCTTGCAGTAACCAAGCGAATCTGACCGATAAACTAAGTGTTACCTGGACAACTAGCTTGTGTTTTGGTGTTGTTGACAAGCGAAGAAAGAATGATACATATATAATGCGAAACAAGTCAATAGATTTATGTTACAGTATTATGTACTTTACCTATATTTGTGACTGGGCCCTTTTACTATTTTTATTATGGACTTTTGCAGATATTGATGTGTATACTTGTTCATATTAGCTGCTTATATATACGTAAAATTCCTCAAATATAGCAAAGATTTTATAAGTAATACAAATCGTTGAATTCTAAAAATGAATAACTGAATCATAAGATCGAATCGTTGAATCATTAAATCCTACGAATGACTAATTAATAATTATTGAATCCCTGGAATGGATAATTGAATCCTAAGATTGTATCATTGAATCCTAAGATTGTATCATTGAATCCTAAGAATGAATCATTGAATCCTAAGAGTGAATGATTGAATCCCAAGATTGAATAATTGAATCCTAAGAATGAATCATTGAATCCTAAGAGTGAATGATTGAATCCCAAGATTGAATAATTGAATCCTAAGAATGAATCATTGAATCGTAAGATTGAATCATTGAATCCCAAGATTGAATCACTGAATCCTAAGATTGAATCATTGAATCCTAAGAACGGATTCATTGAATCGTAAGATTGAATCATTGAATCCGGCGTAAGTTTGAATCATTGAATCGTAAGATTGAATCATTGAATCCTAAGAATGAATCATTGAATCCTAAGAATGAATCATTGAATCCTAAGAATGAATCATTGAATCCTAAGAATGAATCATTGAATCATAAGATAGAAACATTGAATCCTAAGAATGGATAATTGAATCCTAAGATTGAGTCATTGAATACAATGCATTCAACGTTGACGAAAAATGTAATTTTGTACCAGCATATGTTATTAACCAGACTTCGAAACTCAAGCCTCACCCAACATGCAGGACAAATATTTTGACAGCCGTTTGTAAAAGTTCTTTATGTACTTAGTCTAGCCGAAATGACAAACAATTAAGTAGTTTAATTTCATGTCACAGCTGAAGGGAATGCAGTTAACCAAGTGGTGTTGATGGATGTCACAGCATTAAGGTACGTTTACATCAACAACGATTAATCGGGCCGATTTAACTTTATATGATATTTGAAAAATACACTGTCAACGTCGTCTGACGACATCGTCAACTGACAACATTCGTCATTAACATTCGGCAAAACCTGAAATCGTCCCGATAGATGGTTGTGCGATGTAAACATAGCTTAAGTGTATATGTGCCTTTCGTGTCTGTGACCGTGGTTCTATTCAACTATCTGCTATTTTAGTTTCGCTTCACTCGCATGTAGGTCTAAGTTCGACTCAACACCGCACGTTTTGTCGTTGAATACTCTGTATGGTTCTTACTTGTCCCGCTTCAGGAAGAAACTCTGGGACTGATAGACCTACCCAGCGTAAATAACTTAGGAAGTTATTCATTTCTAGAACTCTGACATGAAATACCGACAATACATTTTCTATCACCTTGGTGGCCGCAAATTCCTAACCTCATAGAGCGAATTAATTAAATAGTTTGAAAATATTGAAAGAAAAATTTTCCTCTTTAATTAAACAAATCTAAAAGGGTTTATCATAAAGGGAACTATTATACTTGTGTAACCTGTGTAGGTGTCGATTATTCTGGTGCCCTTGTTAGCTTGTAGTTCGTTTCAGTGTTATCGTTTTTGAGGATGATTTTTGCATATTTTGTTTCCCATTTTTTTTTTAAATTTCAACCTTGGAGTACCTTTTTCACCGTTAATAGCTTCTTTAGGAACGATTTAGTGTGGGAGTAACTTATTCTGTCCTTATTAGCTTGTAGCTTGTTTTTGACGACGAGTTTTGCATATTTTGTTTATCTTTTTTTAAATTTTAACCTTGGAGTACCTTTCTAACCGTTTATAGCTACTACTTTAAGAACGATTTGTGTAGGTGTCAACTATTCTGATGTCCTTATTGACCCATTTTGGTTTCCATTTTTTTTTAAATTTTCAACCTTGCCTCACCTTGGAGTACCTTTGTAACCTTTTATAGCTACTTTGAGAACGATTTAGTGTAGGTGTCAATTATTCTGAAGTTCTTGTTAGCTTCTAGCTCGTTTCAGAGTTTCGTTTTTTGAGGACGATTTTCACCCATTTTGTTTCCCATTTTTCTTTGAACTTTCAACCTTCGAGTAGGTACTCTACTACTAACCGTTAGTAGCCACTTAAGAACGATTTATTCATTGTGTGATGTTTTTTACACGCATGTCTTTAATTAACTAAAAGTTCCTCACATGCGATGAAGGAAAAAAAATTATTCGAAACTGCAAGCATGCATACTTTATTAAACCGATTAAACCCTGCGGTTAGATCCAGTCACGAGGTGAAAAGCATACGTTGTTCCGATCATTATGACATCAATACCCCCTATTGTTATGTGTTCCATGACGTGCTGGGCCTATAGTTTCATCCATTCCTGCCAGAGGGGCTACTAGGGTGGGGCTATAATTCCTCCTAATAAATGTATAAAATTCACACTCATATTTCCATCTATACAAAACCCTTCTATATTAATATTAGTTATATCGAGTAAAGATACTCAAAACTCTGGTATAAAGTATCGTATATTTACCCAAGATTGATGCTCGGGCACACTGACCGAGCCTGGAATTTGAGGTCTACTGGTCCTATTGGTATATCGAGCCAGTATTATTGAGTATATTGGTATTCTGGTAACCCCCTTGGCTAGGCCTGGATGGTAAATTTCGATATTATATCGCTTGTACACTACTTACACTACACATGTGTGCATTTAACTGGCGTATATGCTACCTGCTGACAACTTTGGTTGTACTGTGTAAATCAATAGACCAACGTATAGGCAAGTTGTGTGCTTGATTTACACAGTACAACTCAAATTGTAAGCAGGTTGCATACGACAGTTTTAGACAAAATTTGTGTAGTGTAAATCAGACTTTTAGGAAAGTACACAAACGTCTGAGCAGGAAATTGTCGCGACCCACATGCTGTACACGTTCAGACATGAAAATACACATTAACGATAGTGTTGACATACTTTGAGAGGTTTATGTACATATATTATTGTTCCCACTTGTTTATAATAGTGATAATCTCTAGGATTGATAGATTATTTAATAGCATATTTGCAGCCACTAGACTGAATTACGTATCTTGCAGTAAAATAGGACATTAGGACATAGAAAGGGGCTTCGGTGACGCACTGACGCAGTCGTAGAACAAGCATCTTCGACTTCTGAGATCGTGAGTTCGATTCTCTCGTGTGAAGAGTCAGTCAACAAACACTCTGTCGAAAGTCGTGGGTTTTCTCCGGGTGCTCCGGTTTCCTCCCACAGGGAAAGTTGACAACGTAAACATAGTTGTGAAAGTAATATCACAATTGTTGTAAATATAATAATAGGCTAGGTCATAGTATATTAACTATGTTTAAGGGCTAAGTATGTAATTAGATAAGCGTATAATACTTGATGTAAAACGCATTTGATCATGACTACATGTAAATTTACGCCATAGAAATGTTAATGCAATAGATTATTTAATGCATAGACTCAAATGTTCATTCCTAATAAGACTGTGTATAGCATAATTGATATCGTTCTGGCAACAAATCATGAAATTTGTGTGAAGGATTATCTAAAAGTGTCTTTAATAATGTGTCACATAATTGTTCGTGATGCTCGGCAAGACATTTAAAACTCGACGTTTGTAATATACGATATATTGGGGGTAAATTCTACTACAAAGGACAGTATTTCAACACCACTACCTTCGCTAAGAACCGGTAGTTTGGAATTTAAACTTACGAGAATCCGACAGTTAGGCTAAAGCCTGTTTGCGACTTTGTCCTTTGTCGGCATCGCTTAACACGTCAGCAAAAGTGATATCGACAAATGAAAAACTCTCTTCGCGCGAACAAATTCCTCTATAGTGGAACACGGGCTCATAAGGTTATCTATAGACTATACATACGCTAAACAACTGTTTAAAGTTGTAAGATGCAATGAGTGGGCAGCACGGAAGTTGGTTTAGCACGCACGTAATAGTTGCAAGAAATGCCAGGATCGTCACGAAACATGCACCTCTCGACGGAAACGTCATGTTAGATCGTTGAAATGTCTTAACGGACGGAAGAGGGTTTTGAAAACCGTTAAATCTATAAGCAGGTTTCGACATTATAAAAATGAAAGATAGTCAATTTTTGCAGTCCTGTTGTATGTTATGTGAAACCCTGGTTGCCAGAGGTTCTCGTATCTTTCGCCTTAAGATACGAGAACCTCTGGTAACCAGGGTAGTTATATGACAAATAGGAACGAAAATCGGTGCCATAATCAGATAACCATGATAGAAAATTGTATTACCCTTTAATTAATTAAACCTGTTATCACGATGTATATCGACATTTCCTACACAGTCAGTGGCTCCATGAAAAGCTTTAACTTCGGTAAACCAAAACGTCTACCCGGCTTACAAACCAGTGATGTAGAAAATAATTCCCCTCTCATTTTAAACCAATTAAACAGGCACTTATGTAATAATGACAAGCTCCTATTTGAACTTAATCTTAAGTGTGATTCGCTAGTCGTCCATGCAATCCTGTAGTCGTTGCTACAATTAAATTTTTACCTTCAAATTGTTCTCTTCTCGAGGCGTTGTTTTCTCACTGACTTCGTCTTGAGCTTGAACTGTGAATGCATTCTTTCCGCTGTTAGAACCGCTTTATATACGCAATTCATGTAAGGTTGGCTATAAATAACTCCGGTATTGTGGGGTGTGTTATGTATCCGCATTGTGCGTGTCACTATGTGGGCGCCCGGTCACATCCTTCAATCTGTCTTCATTTCTGGAACGTGCTCGATAAGAGATATTGTATACTGTGTATAGAAATCGGTTGATACTTTTAGCAGCATTGGTTTAGATGGATAGATAAATGGTTTATTTGAAACTAGAAGTTACTATCGCAAGAGAAGTGCTGCCTTACGACCAAAGCCCTGATTGATTATACCAATAAACTCCATTTATTTCAATTGCCTTAATATACACACACTGTATATGCATGAATTTATTTTGTACATGTGATTGCTGGTACCATTGTTTTCAGTTAAACCGTCTTCACTTGGCAAAACGTCTAGAAGAACACAATTAGGATTTAGGAAGAACAAACGTACTGTAACGTGCTCAATAAGGGATATTCTAGAAGACGGTTGATACTTTTACCAGCATTGATTTAGATAGATGGTTTATTACAATTATAAACTTTAGTATTACAGGCTTAAAAGCTGAATTGGAAAGGTTTTACATATAAATTTATAAAATCAGTATATTAAATATTAGCATGATTTACAACTATTAATATTGAAATTTTAAAGTAAACCATAAAATTAAACTATATTTAATTAAACTATAAAATATGGTGTGTGACACTTTCACCTCCACAGCCGTTAAAACTGTTTTATGCAAATCAGGAGATCAGTTGTATCTGTGGACACAACACCTCAATAAACGTTGAATTTCCGAAAATAACTGAAAGATGAAGAACCGTTAAACTGTTTGAAACGTAGCTTTCTTAAGGCTGATTTATTAAAACTGCGTCAGTTCCCTCAAACTCTTACAAATCCTTCAAAACTTAGAATTTACCTTTGCAAAATTCCCACTGTGATCACAGAAACTTTGATAGTGTAAACCAGTCCTTATACATATACATACTGACTAAATTACGGTTTAGTTTGAACCAGTCCTTATACATATACATACAGACTAAATTATACGGTTTAGTCTAAACCAGTCCTTATACATATACATACAGACTAAATTACGGTTTCGAATATTGAGCTTGGACAGGTCATATGGTAGCCTCGATAGTCGCGTTTAAAAAGATTTTTAAAGGGGGAGGAACGTTTTAATGAAACCACAGGTTTCTGAAAAGTACAGTACTTTTAAACTATGAATGAGAACAAGAATCACAATTCCTTAATCCCGTCACCATGTTCCAAGACACGTCAGACTTAGGCCTGTTTCATACGTCGCACTATCGTCGAATTTAATGATGAATTAAATTCATCTAAGACGTTTTATCCGTCATGGTCAGGCGGATATAACGTCTGTAGCGTGTCTTCGTTTCATACGACGTGTTATCGTCGTGTCGAATTAAATGCATAAATTAGGTTAAAGTCTGTTTCTCTCTTTCTGATCTCTTGGTTTTTACTTCTGGGTAATCCATGATCGCTATACATGAAATGAATTCGTCTGAATTGAAGTCGTCGTTTGAAACGGAACCATTTTAGTGTCGAACAATTGACGAATTGAATAACGAATTAAATTCGTCTGAATTAAATTCGACGTATGAAACAGGCCTTACACGTATACCGACTAAATGACGATTTTGAATTCCTCGAGCTTGGCACGGTCGTGTGATATCGGCAAACTACGCAAATAACAAGAGTTGTACGTGGCTGAAAACAAAGAAATTCCAGACCGTATAATATTGACGTTAGTACGTAAGTACACGAATTATCGCACCCCGCACTGGATAGTTCTATATATCAGTTCTAATCTGTTCTCTGAAGGTCTAGTAAAGGCTATGGTGGTGTTTGGTAGAATCGAACTGGAAGCAGTGGCGTGCTGGCTCCTGTTCGTCAGGGGAGGCCACTTCAATGATTTGACGCCCATCGGCATCGTTATAAATGTTCCCGAAAATATGTGTTGACGGGCGGAGTGGGGCGGGGCAAACATCGTTTAAGACAGTTTAATATACACGCCCCTTTACCGCTCTTTTACTTTCCCCTTTCCTTTCCTCATTTCGCCGATTTTTAAGTAGAAATTCATTCGTGCAGTTTCGGCATCCCCCTATAAGCTGTTTGCACCCCCACCCCTAAAATTCCTCGTACGGGAGGTCACAGAGCTGGAAAAAGAGACATACTGTCATGCATGCACTCGAGCATCCAAACCATTAACACCACACGTACAACAAAGTAATAAACAGGTAACAAACTCTAGTCCAGGTTGCGATAAACTTCGAAAATTAAGTACCGGAGGTAACGCCCGAATATTATGGACTGGTAATTATTTTTTTTTTCAGCCACGTACCACGTAGGTACGCGGAACTCCTGCTACACGCGTACTTACATTTTGCTGCTATCAACTGACCTTTCCAAGCCCAAAAGTATTCAATACGTAATTTAGTTGGTATATGTGTAAGTCTGACATGCCTTGGAACGAAACATGATTGGACTGATGCAAGTACACGGCAACAATCGTTGGCGTACCAGTCCAGTACGACCAAAAAATCGTGCGGAATTATCGCACCCTGCGTCACAGGTTTTATTATTGCATCATATAAGATGAAATATCAGAAATGATATCCCGTTTCTACAACAAACTATTACTATCGTCATGGTGCAAGCATACTAAAGTTACATCATCGGTGAACACAAACTTACAACCTGACTTAGTTACGGGGTGTGGCCATTTTACCTTAGTTACTGGGTGTGGCCGTTTTACCTTAGTTACTGGGTGTGGGCTTTTCATCGTCTTGTAAACGATCTTAGAAATATTCAGTATATCCTAGAAACATTCTCTAAACCTAGAAGTATTCTGTAGTCAATTCCAAGTGGTTCTCCTTGACGGTGGTTAACTTCATAAATGGTCATAAAGTTCCTTTATTATAGATGCACGTCGTTTGCATGTGGTATACATTACGTACTCGAAACGGTTGTTTCTCAGCGTAGGTGTATATAGTGGACTTGTAACTTATATTCATTTGAGGTAAATTTATCTTAATTGGCCTACAAAGTGAATATATGTTTTTAAAAAGTGGAGGTTTCAGCCAAAAAGTGCAAAATGAATGAAAAGGATTATAAATCTAAATATTTTGATTATAAATGGTGCCAATAAGTAGTACCAAGAAAGTTTTGGATTGATAGGCATACAATTACATGAAAAATACAAGCAGAACGTCGACGTTTCGAGCGAAGGCAATCAACTTCCCGAGTCCCGAAGGCAATCAACTTCCCGAGTCCTCGTCAAAACGTCCGAAGTTCTCCTTGTATTTTTTGGTAGTTGCATCCATACCAATCCACAGCTTTCATGGTCACTTGGTGGAAACGTACATAATTTTTGGTTAAGAAACAACGTTTTTAAATATATACCTTTTTAAGAAGGATTATATTTAGTTTGAATTACGTCATTGAACAATTCTCATTTAAGTTCCTTAGTGGAGTGTTTCCCACACTGTCAGCCATATAAACATGAATGAAAGACACTTGTAAAATCCGGTACTTTAAAGTGTTCCGTTATTTGACCGTCTGCATTTTTAAAACGGAAATGACCTGTGGCTTTTTGACGTTGCATCATTTCTGCTGCAATCCCAGCGAGGAATGCTAGGAATGGGTAATTAGAAAGGTATAAGTGAAAATACCTGGACAATGTGCTCTTGATGCAGAAGTAGTCGGCAATTAATATTGGTTTTGTATATGCTGAAACATTTGTCTTAATGTGTTATGTAAAGTATTTTAAATGATATCTCAAACGTGGGGGTCGATCTGCTGTAAGTGGAATTTTTTGATAAATTATTAAGGTTTTCGTGGGAACTACCTGATTGATGCGATGTTCAAGCGAGCAAAAGGCTCTTTGTCTGGAAATTGCTCGGAATTTCTTTATATTTTCAGATAATTGTACAGCTTATAAAATTATATTGACCGACATTGCAAAGCAGTTCAAACATTACGATCTACAGTATTATTTTATTATATTTTTCACAAATATTAAATGTATTTTGTTTATACGCATTAGAATTATATCATAATTACAAAATGACTCAATTATAACTCTCTCATGATAGAATCTAGTAGATAATAATTATGGATTATAACATAACAATTGCGGCATGTATTATGGAACTTCTGTTAATTGTCACGGAATGTATTATTCAATTCAGTTAGAAAGGACGATTAACTTTAGTATAAATTGTGCATAAATGTTTTGAAGAAGGTAGCAATTTCTCACTATGGTAATTTTGATTGATCCAATTGCAGTTTCTAATGCATTTGAGTTGGTACACAAATTATTAGATCAACTTCATTCCCATGGACACGTATCCATATAATCATGGGTGGTCATTTTTGTGGTTTTCCAAGCAGTTTTGCAAAAACAAATAAGCAGAGATCTAGAAGATGCAAAATAAGACATTGCAAAGCAGTCAAACATTACGATCATTACTGACATTGCAAAGCAGTTCAAACATTACGATCTACAGTATTAGTTTATTATATTTTTCACAAATATTAAATGTATATTGTTTATATGCATTAAAATTATATCGTAATTACAAAATGACTCAATTAATAACTCTCTCATGATAGAATCTAGTAGATAATAATTATGGATTATAACATAACAATTGCGGCATGTATTATTTTCAGTTTAGACCTCTGTGACTGGGGTTCGATTTCTCCAACATACTACAGGTGTTTACAGTTCACTTCGCGTGGACTATAACGGGGCTTCGGTGGCACTGTAGTCATAACAAGCGCCTTTCGCCTCTGAGATCGTGGGTTTGATTCTCCTTATTCGGACTCATGTGAAAAGAGTCGGTCAACGCTCTGCCGAAAGTCGTGGGTTTTCTCCGGGTGCTCCGGTTTCATCTCACAGGGAAAGTTGACAGAGTGGGTTAGGATTAAATACATCTAAGAAAGTAATATCACAATTG